TTGTTCTTTAGTTCTTCTAGTTCCTTGTTAAACATTTCTTTAATTTTTTGATCCCGGCCTCCATTCTATTTCTGCAATTTTGGGTCATCTTTACTATCATTATTCTGAATTCTTTTTCAAGTTGGTTGCCTATTTCCTCTCCATTTTTTTGGTCTTGTATGTTTTTAACTTGCTCCTTCATTTGTACCATATTTTTTTGTCATCTCGTTTTTATTTCTGATGGATGGAGCTGTTGTCCTGTCTTACTGGTCATTTGGCCTGAGGTATCAAGTACTGGAGTTTGCAGGCAGTTGGGCAGAGCCATCTTGGTGCCGAGAAGAGGACCTCCAGTAGACCTCACACCAATTAATATTTCCTGGGGTCTAAGGTTCTCTGTTAGTCCAGCAGTTTGCACTTAGTACTCCCACCATAGGAGCTCAGACCCAGCTCGTGACCTGGGAATCAAGATCCTGCAAGCTGAGCAGTGTGGTTAAAAAAAAAAAGCAGAACAATAACAATGAATAAAAAATAAAATAAAATTAGAAAAATAAAAAGTATTTTAGAAAAAATCAAAATATAAATGAAACAACAACAACAAGGTAAAACAGAAACACAATAGAAAAATAAAGGGTGGAAAAGGCCTTGGGAGTGTGGGCTTAGGCGGGGTGGGGATTAGTTGGGGGCTGGGCCTTGTATTAGGACCCTCTTGGCCAGAAAAGGCCCTGGGGGAGGCATGGTAGGGCTATGGGGGGTGGGGCTTAGGCTCAGCACAGATGCTGGGGGCCCTGGAGGCCCAGGACCCCAGCAGACTCACTGGAGCTTGAGTGGGCAGGGAAGACACTAGCCTTGTTTCCCTCCAATCCCATGATACCTGGAAGCCTCTCCCCATTGCTGCTGATCCCTGCTCTGTGGGTGGGCCCCTTCAAGTGTGGGAGCCTCTTTCCTACGCCCCCTGCCCCAGACAGGTGACAGTGCCCTCCCACCTCCCCTTTTCCTTCCCCCTCCCTGTTTCCCATGCTCCCAGTTCCTGCTCAGACAAAGGCGTCCCTGAAGGGCTGAGCTTTAGGCCCAGGACCCCAGCAGGCTCCCTGGGGCCCGAGTTGTTGGGGGAGATCCTAGCCACATTCCCCTCTGATCCCCCTGATCCCTCCAAGGTCTCTCCCCATCCTTGCTCAGTGGATGAGCCCCTCTGATCATGCAAACCCCCTCTCTCCCCCAGCCACACATCAGGGGTGCCAGTCCCATCCCACCTCCTCTTTTCCTTCCCTCATCCTTCCCCCCCAGTGTCCTTCCCACCCTCGTCCTACACAGTCATTTGGGGATTCCTCCCATCCCTTTAGGTGTCTGAGGTCCCCCATCAGCACCTGGTAGGTGCCCTAGTTGTGAGGAGATGCGAACTCTATGTCTTCCTACTCCGTCATCTTGACTCTGCCCTGTAGGGTACTTTGAAATTTTAAATAATGTGGCCAAGGAATGCCTCCCTGCAAAGGTGTAAATAATTAAAATTTGATATTCTCTTCTTATTTCATAAGGTAGAACTTCTAGAATTTATTAAATAATAATTGTAATAGGAGATTTTTTAAAATTCCTGACTCAGAATCTAGCAAATAGTGGGGGATGAATAAATGTTTACATAATGAATACCTCTGATGTTTCACCTTTAAATATGATTTTGGCTAATGTCCAATACATCCACATTTCAGTGCTCTAGGAACTTTGCATATTTTTTGTGTTTTATTATTTCATTTGGAAGATTGGAAGAAGTGTTTTATATTTTCCTGGCCTTCCTCCATTATGAGCTGGAGTTCCATGATTGACATTTTAATATAGGTGAAGCACTGACCCTGGCATGAATTATCACTCAGTCAATGTTTTTTAAGTGAATTAATGAAGAAACTGAGAGGGGGAAGGAAATACCATGTTTACCTTGATTTGTAATTTTCAAATAATCATATATTTGGTAAGTAGTCCTCTTTTACTTCTTTTGCCATTTGCCCTGCAAATGGTAGGGGTGGACTTAGCCAAGGGAACTAGTGTTTGTTCAGCAATGATTATGTTCTAGGTACAGAGTGAAGAGTTCAGTCCTTTGCATGTAATCATTACAAAACCCAGCAAGGCTAATATTATTTCTACTTTACAGAAAAGAAAATAGTTTCAAAGAGGTTATGCAAATTTCTCAACTTCATACAGCCTGAATCATAGCACAGCTGGCATTCCAACCTAGTTGGTCTGACACCAAAACCTGTGCTCTTTTCTTCACATACTGGTGCTAGTTCCCAGAATCATAATCAGTGTGTTCTGTCTATGTATTTTTGTTTCCATTGCATTTTATACTCAACATAATCATGCCAAAGCATATCAGCATATAGGGAAAAATCACTTCTGGTTTTCAATTTAATAAACACTTATTGAGTTCCTACATTGGTTATTTTCAATACTTTACAGAAAATATGACCTTCTCAACATGATAAAAGGCATTTATAAAAAACCCACAGCTAGAAAGTTTTCCCCTTAAGGTCAAGAAAAGACAAGTAGGTCTACTTTTTCCACTGATATCTAACATTGTACTGGAAGTTCTAGTCAGGAAAATTAGGCAAGAAAAATAAACATAAAAGGCATTGAAATTGGAAAGGAAGAAGTAAAATTATCTCCATTTGCAGATGCCATGATCCTGTATATGGAAAATCTCAAAGAATCTATAAATAAGCTATTATAGCTAATAAAAAAATTCAGCAAAGTTGCAGTATATAAGATCAACACACAAAAATCAGTGGCATTTTTAAATACTAACAATGAACAATCTGAAAAGGAAATTAAGAAAACAACTTCATTTAAATTTCACCCAAAAGAGTAAAATACCCAGGAATAAATTTAACCAAAAATGTTAAGGACTTGTGCACTACAAAACATTGCTGAATGTAATTAAAGAAAATCTATATAAATGGAAAGACATCCTATGTTTATGGATTGGAAGACTTATTAAGATGTCAATACTATTCACAGTAATCTACAGATTCAGTGTAGTCCCTATCAAAACTCCAATGGTCATTTTTTGCAGAAATGGAAAAGCTGATCCTCAAATTCACACGGAATTGTAATGTCCCTCAAATAGCTCCCAAAACCTTGAAAAAGATGAACAACTTCTTGATTTCAAAATTTACTACAAAGCTTCAGTAATTAAAACAGTGTGGTACTGGCACAAAGATAAACTTGTAGACCAGTGGAATAGAATTGAGAGTTCAGATATATACATATATACACCTATGGCCAGTTGATTTTTGATAAGGATGCCAAGACCTTTCAACAGGGGAAAGAATAGTCTTTTCAACAAATGGTACTGAGACAACTGGATATCTATATGCAAAACAGTGAAGTTGGACCCCTACCTCACATCATATACAAACATTAACTCAAAATGGATCAAAGACCTAATTATAAGAGCTAAAGCCTTAACACTCTTAGGAGAGAACATAAGGATAAGTCTTAATGACTTTGGCCCTTGATTCTTAGACTTGATACCAAAAGCTGACCAACTTAAAAAAAATTAGGCTTTATCAAAATTAAAAACTTTGGTTTATCATAGGACATTATCAAGAAAGTGAAAAAGAACCTACAGAATGGAAGAAAATATTTGTAAATCATTTATCTGGTAAAGGTCAGAATATGTAAAGAACACTTACAACTCAACAACAAAAAGATAAATCACCAAATTTTAAAATGTACAAAGGACTTGAATATGTATTTCTCCAAAGATTATATACAAAGAGTCAACAAGCACACAAAAAGGTGCTCAACATCATTAGTCATTAAGAAAATGCAAATCAAAGCCACAATGAGGTACCGCTTCACACCCAGTAGGATGGCTATAATTTAAAAAATGGAAAATAGGTTTTGATGAGACTATGGAGAAATTAGAGAGTTTGTACATTGCTGGTGGGAATGTAAAATGGTTCAGCCGCCATGGAAGAAGTTTGGCAGTTCCTCAAAAAGTTAAACATTGAATTACCGTATGACCCTTCAATTCTATTTCTAGGTATATATCCAGAATAATTGAAAACAGTCACTCAAACAAGTATGTGTACACACATTTTCATAGCTGCACTATTTACAATAGCCAAAAGGTGGAAAGAGCTCAAATGTCTATCAACAGATGAATGGATAACCAAATTATGGTATATTCATGCAGTGGAATATTATTCAGTCAAAAAAAGGAATGAAGTACTGAAACATGCTACAAAATGGATGATCCTCCAAAACATCAAGCTGAGTACAAGAAAGCAGACACAAAATGACAAATATTGTATGATTCCATTAATATGAAATATTTAGAATTGAGAAATCCATAGAGATAGAATGCAGATTGGTGGTTGCCAGGGGCTGGGGAGAGTTGGGGGTAGGAGAAACCATTTAATGGGTAAGAGGTTTTACTTATAAGTGATGGAAATATTTTGGAACTAGACAGAGAAGGTGATTTCAACAACACTCTGAAGATACTAAATGATGCTGAATTATTCTCTTTAAAATGGTTAATTTCATTGAATGTGAATTTCACCCCAATAAATTACTTAAAAAATATTATGACCAATCTTGGAGATCCCAGTAGGTCTTAGATGAGTACCAACTCTGTCTGTTTTGAAAAGATAACACTAGTGGTTCAGATGTGTACCAAGGGTTGTGAACTGTTGGCCTCCATGCCATCAGTGTCCTGGGAACTTTCACAACATTATCTCATTATCCCATTCCTGTCCTCATTTAACCATCCTAGGTCCTGACTCTGTGGGTCATATTCACTATATGTGTGTCAGTTTTGGTCCTCTAATAAGAAGATGCCAAGATGGATTAGGTATGGAAGAGACTTATTTGTGGAAAATAACTGCAAAGAATAAAGGGGGAATAAAACATTTGGTGGGAAAGGTTTTCAGAGTGTGTTGCAAGTCTGATACCTGTGAAAGGGGAACGAGAAGGAAGGAGGCTTGGGGAGGAAAAGCCTCAGACTTCAGTGCAGCCCTGAGAAAAACTTATCCAGGCAATGAGATCCCCAGAGCAGATTGCCCATCAGAGGAGTCCTCCTTTGGGCTGGAATGGCCCATCTCTTGTACCTGAATCATTCCCTCTCATTGGCCAGGAACAGCCCTGGAAGGGTGTGGCCTCAGGGATGGATGCTGCTGAGGATTTGAGTATATGGCACCTGGAGGATGTCCACCAACCAGCCTTCTTGCAGCAGGTTCTCTTGAAAGATCTGAGCACAACATCTCAACCACCACCAACAGTGTGATACTGGGCAAGTCCTGTAATCTGTCTGAACCTTATTTGAAAGATGGAGTTCATGTCATCTCCATCAAGTGGTTATAGGAAGACAAAATTAGATAAGTAAAAGTACCAGGTATGGTATCTGGAATGAATTTAAGTGATTGACCATTATTCTTTTTCCCAGCATACATGTGAGCAAACTGTGGCTTAGAGTGAGAAAACGACCTTCCTGAAGGCCACATAGCTAGTAAGTAGCAGATGCAAGATTAAAACCCAGCCTAACTTCATGTCCTACACGTATTCCATTTAATTACATACTTATCTGAGATTTTCTTGCCAGTATCTGGAACTGGGGGCTTCATGAACACTCTGCGTGTTCTGTAAATTTGTCTGTGGAGACACATCTGCCAGCTCTGCGTGTGCAATATGTACTTTTACTTAATTTCCTTGTGCCTTATTTTCCATTGGCACATCACAGAGAAGTGCCAAGCATCTTCTTCTCTTATCATTAGTTGTATATTGACATTTGGAGCTTTTGGAAAGATGATAACATTTCCAGCACTGAAATATTCATCTTTGATAAACACTATCTTAGGAGAAAAATATTAAGATGTAAATTGGTTTCATTTAAGTCTCACCACTTCCACCACACAACACCAAGTTGGCACAGTCAGACTGGCCTGGCTGTGCCTTCTCCTGTCATCTGTTGAGAAGTGGATGATAGCAGAGGCTCCTCCTCTGGGGCTCTGGAGTCATGGGAGGTGCCCAGCTGAGGGCCTGAGGTGAGCCCCGTTGCATTTCCCCTGCTGCTACTGCTGCTGTGAAAAGTGGAATATTGACAACACTAACAGCCAGAAGCAGCCTGTGGGCAGGGCAGACACACGCCGCCCTGCCGTCTTTCACTTCACATACTTTTATGGATATTATTCAAGAGCATAGCAGCCCCTCCCCACCTCAAATTGCCCCCATCGTAAAGTCATTTGTCAGCTTTCATTGCAGAAGGGATGACACCAAATGGTCTCTTCTGGGCTTTCCCTGCACAGATTATTTGCTGGCAAAAAGAGAGAGAGGTTTGGCTTTGCTGTTCAAGAGATAAATATTTGATGCCCGGTTAACCTTATAATACAGTGTCAGATCCAGGATTCAGTTCTGTGGACATTTTTAGTGCTCACCATGGCTAGGTACTAGAAATTTGGAGTTGAAAAAGATAGTCAAAGCAGAAACCGGGGGTGTGGTGAGAGGTGAAGCAGGAACCAGGGGTGTGTGTCAGAACAAGACTAGGTCTTATAGATCCTACTAAACAATTAGACCTAACGGAGTCAGTGACAGGAAGCCAGCGAGGAGAGTAAATCGGGGAGATACGAGGTCACATTGGTGTGTAGAGGGGATGATGGATGTACTGGGAGAGACTGGAGTCTGGGAGATCAGTTAGGAGGCTGATAGAGGAGTCCAGGTGAGAAAGGTGGAAGATCAGAATTTATGCAAATGGCAGAGGCAATGGAGAGAAGGGGGTGGACGTGAAAGAATATTCTTATTCCGAATAAGAAATAATAAAGGTAAAAGCAGTAACAATAGTAGTAATAACAATTAGTTGTTGCTGTAATAACACTTATTAAATATTCATCTCTGCACCAGGCCCTATGATAGATAAGCACTCTCTTCATTTACAACAACCGTATGAGATATTAAAAGGCTATCATCCCTTATCCAGGATTCTAAAATTCTAAAATCCTTCAATCAAAAAGTTTTTCCAGATTCATTTGCAGTAAAACTTCAGTAGACTTTTGAACTCGCTTGGTGGAAAAATTTGACTGGAGATGATGGAAGGCTACTTACAGGTTTTATTTATTTAGTGTGGACACCCACACGTTTTGCTGTGGGATATAAATGTGTTTGATTATGGAGCATGGGCCCCAGACCCTTCTGGGGACATTACCAAATAGACTATAGATGATGTAATGCCCTCTGCCTGTGTTACAAATTATATTTCACATCCACTTTATACCTTTTAACCTTTCCTCAAGGGTTTCAGATAAGGCACTGTGGGCCTACCTATATTTTAGCTGTGGAAACAGAGGCACAGGGAGGTTAAGTAATTTGCCCAGAAGTATGCAACTAGGTGGTGGCAGAGCTGGGATGGGAATCCAGTTTCTCTGGACTCCAGAGTCTGCACTCTGAAACCTGTTGCTGCACTGTCTGCTTAGGTTGGCAGGAAAAGATCATTTTACAGATGAGGCAACCTATGTTTCTTTTCAACTAGCTTCTGTGAATGGTAATATCTTGCTTTCCAGGTCTTAGAAGAATGGAAGCATTTCCTTACCAAGGTTACTCAAATGAATCTTTTGGACAGAAAAAAGGACTCCAGGGTGATGAAGGAGGTTTCTGGGGATGGGGACTGGTTGCCAGTTTGGGAAGATTCATCAGGTAGAGGTGAAAGATAATAGCTGCTTAATGTCATGGGCTCCAGATTGAAGGAAAACAGTAGTGAATCTTTGGCAAGATTATAGATGATTTTGGTTTCGATTCTTAAAGCTTTCCAAGTTTTTCACAACTGTCACAATTTACTTTTATAGTTAGAAAATTGGCTTTTAATTTGTTTGTGACAAATGACTTATTTTGGGGAGAGTTAAAGCAATAAGTGCCTTATAAACAAGAGGCATTCATTAACTATTTGCTGATATGTTCACTCAACAGATTACTTTCTTACCCCACTTGCTAACTGACCACGAATACTGAAAAGTTTAAAGTAGAAATTTTATTAATTATTATTCATGTTTTACAAAATGTTTTTCTTTCTCAAATTGAACTAATGTATTGCTGTACAATATTATATGTTACAGGTGTACGATATAGTGATTCACAATTTTTCAAGGTTATTCTCCATTTATAGTTGTTATAAAATATTAGCTATATTCCCCGTGTTGTACAGTATAACCTTGTAGCTTATTTTATACCTAATATTTTGTACCTCTTTATCCCCTGCCCCTATATTTCCTCTCCCCCCTCCCCTCTCCCCACTGGTAACCATTAGTTTGTTCTCTGTATCTATGAATCTACTTTTTTGTTATATTCACTAGCTTGTTGTATTTTTTAGAGTCCACATATAAGTGATGTTTCTCAATTTTTTTAAAAAAAGCTATCCAAGTCCACTTAATTACAATGACAAATTTTTAAAGGAATAAAAAGATTTTGAGGTCATAATGAATTGTTTGGTAAAAAAATAAAGCAATACCTAATGTGATAAACATTCCAGTAACATTAGAGAATTTAGGCAGTCTTTTGAAGCTTAATAAAACTTAATTTTACTAATATTAAGTTGTAATAAGAGGACAGTCTTTCCTTGTCAAACAAGGTATTACGACATTTTATACATATTAGGAATAAACAATAAAATGTTGGTAAACCACAGGAGGCCGTTTTTTATTGAGCACCTGATTTATGCCAAGATGATCAGGAGAGTCTAAGAAAGGTAGTCCCCATCTTGTGTTTTAAAATGTGTATCTTCTGAAACAGGAGTTTTTTTTTGTTTTTGTTTTTTTTTGTTGCGGTACAGGGGCCTCTCACTGTTGTGGCCTCTCCCGTTGCGGAGCACAGGCTCCAGACACGCAGGCTCAGCGGCCATGGCTCATGGGCCCAGCCTCTCCACAGCATGTGGGATCTTCCCGGACCGGGGCACGAACCTGCGTCCCCTGCATCGGCAGGCAGACTCTCAACCACTGCGCCACCAGGGAAGCCCTGAACCAGGAGTTTTAACTTTCTTTAACCTTTTGTCAAATTGCCTTTATAATATTTTGCCATAAAGGAACAGTAAATAGCATCAGATATATTGCATGAGTCTTTTCAAAAATAGCCTCTCTTTGGGCCTTAGTTTTCTCATCTGTCACTGGGGATAAACAAGATTTGTTTCATAGAGGTGTGGCTAGTGGTGTGCTAATAAATGTTTAACAAACAGCCTTCAAAAAGAAGAAAGAAAAGGGGTATACATCTCTGATTTGTCATGTTTCCTAATTTCTGTGGTGTAAATATTCCCATCACATCTGATTTCAGGCCACCATGGTAACATCAAAGCACCATTATACAGTATTTCCTTCCTTACTACTACATAGATAATAGGCATAAACCACCTTAAGAGCATAGAAAATGTGGTAAAAATAATTAGGAATTGATGAGTTTTGAGTATTTATTACCTTTGTTTTAAATATAATTTAAAGTTTATATAATTTAATGTCTAAAATGGCTATGTTTGACAGCCAGCTTGCAAAAATTCCTGAAAATTTAACAGTTGACTCTTTTATTTTTTTTTCTTTTTTGCGGTACGCGGGCCTCTCACTGTTCCGGCCTCTCCCGTTGCGGAGCACAGGCTCCGGATGCACAGGCTTAGCGGGCATGGCTCACGGGCCCAGCCGCTCTGCAGCATGTGGGATCTCCCTGGACCGGGGCATGAACCCGCGTCCCCTGCATCGGCAGGCAGACTCTCAACCACTACGCCACCAGGAAAACCCCAACAGTTGACTCTTGAAGCCAGTGCAAGCCAGCTCCAGCATACCACTCACTAGGTGTTATGAAGATTAAAAGGAAATCATAAATTTAAAAACTGCCTAATAGTTCCTCTATAAATCTCCATTTTCTTCTCTGTTCTCTTGTGTTTTATTAAGCCCCATCCTCCTCCTCAGAGTCCATGACAACATCTCTAGTTTTAATACCATCTCCAAAGACCAAATTAGCTTGATGAATTATTCAGAATATTCAGGAAAACTTGGTGAGCACGATTCACTTGCTCTCAGTCTTGTGAGAAGGGTCAGCTTGAATATGAGGAAAAAGGGCCTTGGTGTCTTCATCTCTCCTTGCAAACACTTGTTCTGCACGCCTGGAATTCACTGCCCCTTTTCCCTGGATCAGTAGTTCCTCATGCTTTCTTTTCCTAGAGCTGACCAAGAAGAGAGCATGATCTCATTAGAGAATCAAATCTGTGGCTTTATTCAGCTTCAGATGAGAGTTCTGGGAGATGTTTCCACTGTATATTGGAAAAATATACACCCCACTGATTTTTTGTCATTTTTTGTCTTATTTATTAGTCATTTTTTGTCTTATTTATTATCAACTAAGTCACATGATTAGAAATCCATGTGTATCTGAGCCTGTATATTTTCCTTATAAAGGAAATATAAATTTTATTGTGCTTTCAAAATATAAAGATTAACAATGCTCAGTGTAAAAACCATGAAATAATACTGAGAAATATAAAAA